TCCATTGTGCATACTCAGATGTGCCTTGGGCACGCAGATGAGCGGCAACGCGCAACACACATTGGCCGGCAGTGGTGCTCCCGAATGGAGCCCACGGGGTGAACAGCGGACTGTTATAATATAATCCATCGTCAACAACAGGGGGGAGGTACAGAAGACGCCACACATCGGCTCTTTGGACTTCATTAGATGTATTATTCAAGATATATGACCCTGTTCCTAGGAGATTCATAAAACTCTGCGGACATCCTGTCCAGGGAAACGAATTGGGGTCAACAGGAGGTCTGCCCCTTTGAACTTGACAAAGAATAATTGGGGTCAGACCGCTGGTAACGGCACCGAGCCAGAGGGTGAATATTTGTGGTTGATGAAAGCTGCATATGACTGCGAGGATTTCGTAGTAGAGCCCAGGAGTGGAAGAAAATCTTGGGCATTCTGGAATTTCTTGGAGGATGGGGTGAAGCCACGGGCTCACCATATTGCATGTGACGGTAGGCTCCCAGAACATTCCGCAAAGAGTTGATGTAAGTGTTTCCAGGCTGCAACTCAGAGTCATGTAGTAAGAAAGTTCTTTGTCCACAGTTGGCCAGCCCAGAGCAGTGGAATTGGCGGAGTCGACTCCCTGTTGGGCATGGTTATTGGCAGGAAGAGGCAATGGAAGGGGTAGTTGAATAGCAGTGCCATGGTGGTTGTGTGCAGGAAATGTCAATGCTGTTGCAAGAGCAACAGGCAGCTGGCTGTCCAAATTATGTTGTTGGGAGAACTGCACAAGGAACTCAAATGCCTTGTTGAATGATGGAGGACTGGAAGCAGCAACATCTTTGAAAACCGGCTCCTTCAATTCCCATCTGATTTCGATATCACGCATATGTTTATTGAGACAGACCAAGGCGTCACAAACTCTTGATCCATCTGTTGAGATATGATGGCTTTCCAACCTTGGCCAGGTGCCAAGAGAGCTGACCACCATCTCGCTACATCTTCATCCACCTTGCCAATATCAATAGTGACCGACGAGGAACCGTGGCTCTTGCTCTGCTGAATCCTTGTGTGCTTCAAGTCTGTATATGCCATTTCGCAGTTCTTCACTTGCAACTTCAACAACCGAGCAGAGAGAATGTATGACCAGCCTAGGGCTAAAATTCCCAGGTAACTTGGTGCTCTGTTTCCCTCGCCTGAAATACTAGGCCATTGATGAAAGCTCTTCCCGCCAAACTCGCATGGAATGAGTGTGCGGCTGCCTATATGAAGTAGTCTGGGAATATCTCTCTTTTTCCCAACAACGCCACATTTTGCCGTGCCGGTAATGTGCCAGGTAGATGAGGCTTGAATGCAAAGTGTTTCACTCGGGGATGAATCAAGATGCAGTATCATTGTTTTGCCTTGCCTTGTGCTGATTGTGGGGAGGCAGTTTAGGGTGCCTCGAAGGCTCGTTAAGATAGGCGGAATTCCTTTGCAGTGCCGGGTAACTGCCATTGCAGTAAGATGATACCAGTAATCCTGAGATCTTTCCATTGCAACTTCCAGCTGTTGGGGAGTGGGCTGAAGCTGGTCATGATTGTTTATGATCTAGAGAACGTTAATTACCATTAGGAAGATAGAGATGGTGAAGGCGGTATTACCATTGAGAGGTCAGGCGGCTCTAAGAGCCCATGCTCAACCAGCACCATGTCTGCTCGACGCAAATTAATTGACATCAAAGA